CGGGGGTGGGGGCGGCCGCCGCGGCGCTGCCTCGGCGCCATGGCCCGCTACGGCACGGAGCAGCGGGGGCGGCCTAACTCTCCCGATTACCGCCTCTACTTTAGTAAGTAGTAGCCCCCGGGCTCGATAAAACCCCTTCCTTCCCCGCCTCGCGGGGTGCTGCACGGTGGGGAGAGGCGGCGGCTCCCCGCTCCCGCCGAGGCCCCTCGGGCTGGCTGAGGTGTCGCCCCTGAGCCCCCACCCCCTCCAGGGGGGGCGGGGGGGTGTAGTTCTTCTGTGGAGAGCGAGGGGGCTTCCTGGCAGATCCACTTCTGCAGGGGATGCTGTGGGCCTGCTCGGTCCTGGAGGCTGGTGTGCGCGGCCCAGGCGTGGCCTTCCCCAGCCCCGCGAAGGCCGCTGGAGGGGGAAGAGGTGCTGGGGGGGCCGGGGGTGAAGCGCTGCCTCGTGCGGTGTTGTGGCAGCCTGGGCGCAAAGGCCACGGGGCGCTCTGGGAGCCCAAGGACAGCCTTGGCCGTGGGAGCCTTGCTTCGCCTTACTTCGGCGGTATGACAGCCCAGTGGGAGCACGGCCTGTCCCCAGTGAGCAGGCCAGCCCTCCCTCCAGAAACGTCACGGTGAGGGCAGGGTGGCATCCAAAACATGGGGCTCCAGCCCCGAGGGACCTGTGGGGCCAGCGGCAGCAAGTGGCACCGGGAGGGCATGGGCAGTGCTCCAGAGGGCTTCTCAAAACCCAGTGAGAGCTGGTGGTGTGCAGGCTCGGTATTACGCATTTTAGTAACAGTGTTGTCTGTTTGTATGCCACTTCTCTAGCAGTGGTCTTGTACGGTTTTGGTCCGTTGACTTACAAGCAGTTAATTCTGACGTCCGCTGGTGTGCGAGATGCAGAGGTGTTGGCAGTGTCCTGCCAGAGCTCCCTTGTGCTCAGTCCCTAGGGGGCTGCCAGCGCAGGAGTTCATCTAGAGAAAGTCACTGTAGTTAGTGGGAATAAGCAGCCTACCACTAAACTTTGTTTTATTTGGGAGGAGCATCCTGGAGGCTTCCAGGAGTTGCAAAACCAACTACCATTTACTCCTGCTGAGGTGGTCAAAGTACAGTCCAAAGCTAAATGAAGTCCCTTGTCTGCTTTTCCCTTTACTGTGAATAGGGATGCTAGCAGAGGAGAAATTCCTTGGGATTTGTGTTAGCACCTTATATTGTTGATGTTTCTGTTTCGATGCAGTACTTGGGCTTTTAGTATGTTGAAAAATTTCTTAGTAGTTTGAAAAACTTAAGTAGCCACTCGAGTGAATTTTGTTCCTTTCTGCAGTGGGAACAAGGCTGAGATGCAGATTGGGCCTCCATTAAGTTATGTCAATTTCTGCTGGTTTTGAGCCTTGGTGTTTCATGTCTAGGGCCTGAGCAATTATCCCATCCATCCCTCACTTATTCTTTTGGTCAAACTTTGTCCTACTCTGTTGGGATTTTCTCTTTGTGGTCGTGAAACTCAGTTTATTAGAAATACAGTGAAATCGCAAGGGCAGCATTGCTAGAAACCTGGATGAATTCACTGATCACTCATGGAGATGAGGTTCTCTTGGTATTTTTTTCTGTATTAATGGTTGTGTATTGCTGGGGAGGAGGATAAAAGAGAATGAAAGGATCTTCTCATCTTTACATAGCTTCTATTACCAGGTAGTCAGAAGGGTCAAATTGAATACCAAAGCAATAATTTTGATTCTGATGAATCCTTGTCAAACAATCAAATTCCTTGTCCTGCGCATAGGTTATTTTTTAGCCCTTGGAATTAAGAAGTTTAACTGATTTGTAATTGTTGCATATCATACGTTTCTGTAATGTGTAATAGCAATACCAACATCTTATCTTTAGATTTGTAATGCTACCTTGTTTTGTTTTGTTTTCAGAGAATGCAGATGGTAAATATATTTCCCCGTTTCATGACATTCCACTGTTTGCTGGATCTAAAGAGGTATGTATTTATGCCTTTAAACACAACTAATTTCAAGTTGATAACAGTTTTGCTGGTGTTCTTTAGGTAAAAATGCAGTTTTTAAAAGCTTTTTTTTTTTTTAAGCAATTAACAGACAAATGTATAGCATCAGAAAGGACCACTTTAACCCAGGCTGATTTCTTACATAGTACAGGCACAATAACCCCACCAAATTTTCTCTGCTGAGTTCAGTAACTTGCACTGAAACATAATGATTACTGTGTAGACAAGCCTAGGTGTCTCTTTAAGTCTCCAGGTGATTGAGGGTGGGGGAGCCACTGTATCTTGTGTTAATTCTCCTCTGTGTTTAAGGTTTGTGTTTGTGTGCTTGAATTCATTTTCTACTATTACTCTTAAATTGGCATTTTTCTACATCTGCAATTAAAAGTGTACATTTCCTTGCAGTAGGAGATGTACAGCACATGCTTATGTAACTTATGGTGTATTTCTTTAATTCCCAAAAGGAGCATTATAATTGGAAGCCAACAATAATGCCCATGAGAGAAGTGGTAATCGCACCTTTGGAGAATTACAAGGCGTGAGGTGCAGCTGAGCACTTTCACGTCTTGTTAGCCACACTCCCTGGAGTTTCATTATAGCAATAATGAAACGCCTGTTTTATGTGTCACCGGTGGGAACTGCCAGTCTTTGGTTTAGACTTAGGTTTGCTTATTATGGTATGCTTGTTACACAAACAGGTTGGGAGGGTTTCGGCCATTTTTTTGATTTGTTGCTGGGTCTCTATGGATGATATGAATGGTGAGAAAGGTCAGCAGTTGTAACATGTTCAAATTGAGACTTTTGAACTAATGAACCAATCTCTTGAATTATTTAAACTGAGAGATTAAAAATATGCATGAAACCTTTTTGATCAGCAGACCCTAAGCTTGCTAGTCAATGGAAGAGGTAAGTCTCATTCAGAGAGTCGTTACTAAGATGCTCTGTTCAGTGGGTGCTATTGCTGCAAGAGCAACGGGGCATTTTCATCACATATTCCCTGGGGGCCTTGCTGTCCCTGCATCTAGAGTTTAAGGTTCGGAGGGGTGGATTATAGTCTGTGATTTTTCTGTAGAATAAATTATAGTACAGCGATATCTGATGGATGTGGAGAGGCTTTCATTTTGGTGTGTGAGCAAGGAAAGAGCATTCCACAGGATATAGGGGCCTGAGGGGGGAGCAAGAAAGGGAGTCATTGTGAAGGTCTCTGTTAATTTTGCTTTCTTTGCAAGAGGAGGATTTCAGGAGTTGTATGTTATATTCTTCTCCTCCCCTGCTCTAAGCTTTGTGGACTTTATTTTATGACGGATAACCCCAGCCTTATTTTCCATACTAGTTTTGCTTGTTTATTTTGTTTTTTATCTTTTTCAACTGAACAGAAGGATGACTGTGTTATTAATCAGTTGAGGGCAGGCCTAAATTGCTGCTTAAATTTTTCAGTGGCTGGGAGAAAGTGGATGTGTCCTTGTACATTTTTATCTTCCTCTGTTAACATCTCTAAGGTTATAATTTCACAATGAATCACAACTGAGTCCTTCTAAAAGTTGTAGTTTAGGCCTTTATGCTCACAAAGGGATGTTCCAATTGCATTGAAAACTGCTGTTGTCTGTATTTATGTGAATATAGTATTGCTCTCTAATGTTCTTTGTACACTTCTTTACTTCACTCTTTCCCTATAGGATAAAGAGATTCCTGCAAAGAGGTCAAAGACTACTGGAACTGAGGTACTGCTAAGTTTTTCATTTTGGTTTTAACTATTCCCTCTATTTCCTTTCCCACATCACTCTGCTATTCTGCAAAGTGAACTTGCTCTCACTGAATAGAGTTGACATATCTTCGAATGCAAGTCTTCTAGGAGGAGAAGGCTTAAAGCGATTTAATGATCTCCTCTTTGAATGGGCCAGAAATGTCAGCATTCTTTTATTCATCAAGATGTTCTCAAAGGCAAACACTTTTGTACCACTCTTTGAAAGGTTCGTTATGACTATTGCAGCATAGATATGGTATCTTTTCTGCTATTGCATTCTGAAACATTTGCAATAAAACCTCTGTTAATGAAATATTCATTATGCTCTCACTGTGGGTAATCTTTGATATATATACAAAACTTCAGAAATCCTAAGTATGTTAGAGCAGAAATTAGACTTAGTATCTGCTTTTTAGCACTGAGGATATGTGGTTTTCTGTACTCATCTGGGAAGCCCAAAGAGCAATCAATCACATCTACTGATGGTTTAGCATTAACCAGCACAGATGTTAAGCCTAACAGAAGCCCCCAAAACCACGGAAGGTCTGCTCAGGCTTTTTTTGTGAAACAAGATTTGTTTGTGCAAATGTATTTTCCAAAATACAGCATTTTTTTCAGTGCTTTCCCTGTCACAGGAGTACCTAAAACTTAGTAGAAGAAAGTGGGCGGGGGGGGGGGTTGAAGAAACAAACTATGCTTTAAGGCCATGATGTGTGGGGGCGTGTATGTGCCCCAGCCTTTATCTTCTCATCTCTGTTTGGCCAGTCATATTGCAAAACTGTAACTACCCATCCGATGTGAAAGAACTGTCCTAACTGTCTGGGTTCTCATAGTTTTGCAACTAGTCTGTGGTACACTGGTTCTTCTGCTGTACAACGGTCCCCGCGCAATCCTGCATTATGTATTTCCGCTCCCTTTGCCCTGTGATTCATTCAAGCTACAATGCCTAGGTAATGCTTTTTAGATTTCCTGTTGCTTGATGCCCATTTAAATACTATTTAGTAGATGTAGAATCATGCCTGAGAGGTGAACTCTTGAGGAGAAAGAGTATGTGCCAGTAGCCTTTCTCAAAAATCATTTGTCTTTCAACATGAGTTCTTAATTACTGCTCTTGCTGGAAGTCAAGTATTCTGTTTCTTACCTGCTTATGAATACTGTGACAATACCAGCTGGTTGCAAAGGTGCAAAGCTTGTTTATGCAGTGTCTAAAACTGTTCAAAACTGCATTTGTCTGTGTAGTGGGAAGCATGATAGTTTGTTGAAAACCACGTTTGTAGTACCGTTTTTATTGATCTCTGGATCAGCCTATGGAGCCCGGGGGAAAAATGCCAGTGAGGTTGAGCAGCTCTTGCTTTCTGGGCCAGTGTAGCCAGCTCCAGAGCTGCTTCACATAACTCCTGCTGTGAGAGCACTCTGGACTGTGGTTTAATAGAACTACAGAAAATGAGCAAAGGCGAATGTACATTGCAGTCTTTGTGGGCTTCTGATGCAAGTAAGCAAGCAAATGTGCAGGCTAGAGGGTTTCCAAACATGCTTGGTGTTTACTTAGATGTTGAAATGTGAGAATGCAAATCATTTAGAAAACCCTTTCTCATCATCATCTTTGGGGGTTGGGGATAAGAGAGAATATAGAGGGATCTTTGGCTTCAGGAAAGCAGTTTCTTCTTACACTGGGCTCTTCAGCAACTCTCCTCACCTTGGCTTGGTGAGAAATGCATGCCTTGTGCTTGTATGTAGGGAAAGCAGAGCTTAATCAAGGGATAAAGGGAAAATGAGGAATTTAATGCCATGTACTGATTTCTGAAGACCTTTGAAGCGCTGTACTCCTTACTCTTGTCTAGGGATGCAAAGGCTACTATTGGTACCTGGTGTTCAGTTGATCCTTGCACTGAATTTGTCCAGGATTCAAAGGTGATTGTTTCTTTTGCCCTGGAAACATGGTGGCATCTTTAAAACTTGTGGTTTTAGTGTGGCAGTTATTTGTTACTCTTGACAAGGGCAAGCCCTTTTAAGAGTGTGTGTTAAATTATGCTGAACTGGTGTTCATCAAATGGCAGTTCAGCTGTGGAAAATGAAGATAATTCTGCATGAGTCTCTTCAGTCTAATCTACTTTAAATTGTTCTTGGCATTCCTGATGCCAGAAAAGACGGTCTCAAAATAGAGGAGTTTTAGCTTTCAACGTTCGTGGGATAGGGGAATGCACGTTGTACAAGTCTCTTAGCTGTTTTGCAGTCTCGGCTTGTAGTTCTAAGGGAAACACTGTGGTGTTTCTGTATGAACTGTTCTCAGCAGTGCAGCCATTTTTTTTAACATTTTAGACCTTCCCAAATCTCAGTTAAATTTAGCTTTGCAGCCACTGTTGACAACTGATCTTTTTGCTTTCACAGATGTTTTTTGGCTCTTTGAAGACTAGAGAGAAGTTATTTTGAGGGAGAAACTATGCTGAAAGAAATCATATTCAGCTTCAGTCTCAAAATTATTACCAGCTTGCTATCTGAACCTCTGCTTTGTCTTAAGCATTGCAAGCACTTGGAATCTACTGCCCAAGTAAATCTCTGTGGAAGGTATCAAAAGTTTCACATCTGTTGTCTGGAAGAGTGGGTGTTCCCACTGTGGTTACAGTCAAAACTGTCAGAGCCTGATTGTTGAATATGGTCTTCCATGTCTAGCAGGAAGAATGTTTGAAGAGGTCACTGTTTTCTTTTCAAGACAGGTGTGACATGTTGCTTCCCTGCTGTAGTGAAAGGGTTTCTAATCTACTTGTCATTGTATGTCTTTGGTAAAGTATTCCCATGTCGTGTCATTCAGAGGACTCAGGTGTTCTTGAATACTAAGTTTTGTTTAAAATCTTGGCCTTGGTAAGGAATCTGTCCAAGCATGTAGAGATTGTAGTCCTCTAACTTGCAGACACCCATAAGAGTATTTGAAAAAAAAAATACACAAAGAAAGAAACAAGACAGCTTTTGTTTTGTTGCATCCTGCGGGTTGCACAGTGCTGGAATGCCCTTGTGGACTTCAGTTGAATTGCTCCTGTCAGGCAAAAACATCTGATAAATGAACTAGTCAGGTGAGATATAAGGGGTCATCAGAGTGGTCATGTAGTCTGAACAGGTTCTCTGATAGAAGGCCTCACGCTTGGAACAGTATTCAAAACTGGTGTCAGAGTTGTCTTATGATAAAGTCAGTACGTTTCATAAGAAAGGAAAAGCTGTCATCATTTTCAGTGCAGTACAGGTGCAGACTTTGTACTGACTTTGTATTCTGTCTTAACTACACCCTCTGTAACCTTCTTTGGTCATGTTAGACATTTTTTTGGTATATGTAACCTGGGCTGTAGTGTGTCCATTATGTGTGTTCAGGGACTTGTGTGTTCCAAATTTTAGATTATCAGCGAAGCCTTCATCCTGATGCTTGAACTTGCCCAGACTTTTTCTGTGGATGTGTCCAATAGCTGCAAGCCTTGCTTTGTGTTCTTATAGATTAACAAATACTGAGAATAGAAGTAATCTTCACTCAGTGGTCCAGTTAAAATCTACTGGAGTAGAGTTGGTTTATTGAGAAAGTTGCATCAGTGATTTGATCAAGCTTAACTTCAAATTGATGGTTCCTTAAACTTGAGAAAGTCAGTGTTTCATTTTCATTCATGTCATGGTTGTACACTGACTAGTTTTGCAGGTGAATGTGTCCAGTAACTAGTTTATCAGAGAATATGCCTGACACCACTTTTGGGATACCTGTGGGTAAAAACTTAGGTAGTGTTCGTGATTCCCTTTTCACTATAACGTGAGGGAGGTACACTGTGAAGAGGCCGCAGGCACTCTGTATTTATGCTGGGCACTGCATTCCTTTTTTGCTGTGTGGCGTGTTAATTTATATTGGAGAAGTTCCATTGACTTCTCATTTAGATACAGTATATTTGCTCCAGATGTCGCTGGCATCTGGTTTGTTGTTTTCATTGGCAAATACCTTGTAGCAAGCGTTACATTGGGAATGCTTATAACATGAGCGCTTGTTTTATAAGCAAGCCCCTCTGCATTTATTTCTTGGTGTATTTCATGACAGTCCTTATTTTCCTTCTCCTTTTTTTCCTTTTTTTTCTTTTTTTCCTTTTAAACATCATCCTTTGTTCACATCGCTGCTAGACTGCAGCTCATCTTTTTCATTCTCATTAGTCCTCAGGTGCATGCTACCATGTTCAGTTGATGGCTGATGAGAATCCCTGCAAGATTGCAAATGAGCAGACAGAAAAGAAATGGAAATGATAGCTGCTTTTTCTTCTCTCTGTCTTGTGAGCTCAGAGCTTCTCAGTGCGGAAGGGTCAGCAGCCCCCAAATGTTGCCCTCTAATGCTTTCAGATTTTTTCTTTTAAGCACTCTTACTATAAAAACAACTCAAGTAACTGTAAGCTTTAGCACATCTCTTCTCCCTGTCATGCAAGGGTGATGGTGAATGGCAATCAGGCCTTAAAAAGTGGTGATGTTTGTCATTTTATGAAATTATACTGAATTTCTGTTCCTCTGTCTCTCTTGTTTTGTCACTTCCGTCAGTCTGCATAGGTTGCTCCACTTCTGCTTCAAATTAGCTGAGCCTTCAGAGTTTAACGTTAAGTCTTGCAGCCCTTGGGCAGAATCATACCTATTCAAAACCTTCCCCTTAAATGCACCAGCTAAGGAACTTGGGAAGTCTGGGAAAGGAAACAGTTGAACAGGAAAGGGAAAGTTAGGTAAGGAAGAATTGTTTCTGAAAAGGGTGTATGGGAGTCCAGAAGGACAGGTTGTAAAAATAGTGCCAGAAATGTGCTTAATTTTTTTTTTCTTCCTGTGATATTGAGGTTTGTAATAACAAACCCTGATCAAAATGCATTATCTTCTATAAGAATCTGTACAGCCAGAGCTAGCAGTTATTTTTGGCCATCAGTCTTAGTGGAGAGAACGCTGACTGACAGTTTTCCTGGGTACAACAGTCTGTATTTCCTTGCTTTTCTCAACCCTTGCTGTATGAATATGTTGAAGTAGATTTGTGTGCCTTTTTATCTTTCTGTGTTTTTCTTATTTCAAAAACCAAAAACTGTTCCTGTTCTCTGTGTAAAAGACCTTTTTGCTTCTCTCAGCAAAACTGGTATCACGATATGTTAAAAATTATGCTCAACTGAAATGGAATGCAATAAGTTGCCAAGCAGGGTTAAAGAAAACACCCCAATAAAGCAAACACTTATTTACATCCTGTGTGAGTTCCCATGTAAAGTACTTAGCATGTAGTTCTTAGGAAATAAAGGATATCATTTAGACATACTGGTTATTCCTTCTGATGTAATTTTCTGCTGATTTTCGTATTCAGTTTTAGGAATTAGGAAATGCACTTTTGACTTCTGTGAGCAAATGGATTCCTCCCTCTGCCCCCCTTCAAGGTATAATAGACCATAACTACAAATGTCTATCTTTTGTTCACGTTAACCCAAAGTCAAACAAGCTATGTAATACGCTGTGTTGAAAATCTCTCTGGGGTCTGTCAGGTCACTTCTCCTAGCAGATGGGTTCTGTCCCTTTTTCTGAATCTAGGAAACTGTTTCCTCCTCTTTCCTTGCGTGCTCCAGGAGACTCCTTCTGAAGAAACTGTCAGCCAGCAGAGTTGGCATGAGGCTAGCCTGTAGGAACTACTCCATCTGGCCTGTTGTACAGTCTGCTGTCATGAAGTGGAGTCCCTTCTACATTAGGCGCTTGCAGAGTTGGATTAAATCTAGACAGCAGTAAGCAGCATCTCATAAGCAGACCAGTTCACTGCTGTCATACTAAGGCTGTTAAATGGTAAACTTTCCAAAGCAATAGTTTTCATTTCATGAGAGATCTTTTTTCTTTTTCTTTCACTGGGAAGGTGAGTCAAATGGGCTGTTGAAACAATCTTCACCATTGCTTGAGGGGGTAGAAGTGCTCACTTGGGAGTTTGGTGAGGTGGAATTTTTTGTTTCACTGATTTAAAATAACGATAAAAATATCAATTACCAGATGCATTCACCATCCAAAACTAACCACTGAATGGCATATGCAGATGGTAATCTGTGAAGACAGGTGGTGTCTGACACTTGCATTTCTGTTTGCAGCTGAGGCAGGAATGGTTTTGCAGCAAGGGATGGGGGAGAACATTCAAGCGGTCAGAAGGAATAGGTGCTTGGTCTGGGAAAATAAGAGTGATGGAAAAATTCCCGGGTGATATTTAGGCAAGGAGGGAAATGAGATGGGAGAGAGGAGGAAAAAAACCCTAAAAAACCAGAGGAGTATGCTTCTTGCTCTCTTTCTATCAAATTATCTAGTATGTGCTCTCCTTTCCACACCAGTGAATCCTGTCTCATCACTGTGAAAATGTGATTGCCCTATAAATAAAAGGTTTTATTTTTAAATGTAAGCACTGCATGAAGTTATTGATCTCTTGTAAATGCTTGTGGCAGCTTTGCATTAGAGAGAGTACTTTCAGGGATTCTTTTGCATACAAATTAATCTGTCAGGCTGTCATATTTAACACTCGTGACAAGTCACATTTGACTGATACCACAGATTATAGAGGCCTGGTCTTAGAGCTGAGTTAAATCCAAGTGATTTTTTTTGTTTTTGAGAGCAGCATTGTATTCATTTCAGCCCAGTTGTTGTCCAGCCCTGAGAGTTGTTTTGGTGAAGACCTGGAATAACTCTTGACCAATTAAAGCTCAAACCAGGATTTACAGGCTGCTGAAGCCGTTGTGTTAGACATGGTCAGGAAAATGTACAGTGGCATCTAAACAACAAAAATACAGGATTGTGGTGGAGGGGTAGACATTGTGTATAATTCCAAGAGTAGTTTGTAGGTTTTCTGCCTGTAGCTACCAGTCAGAACAGTTCTTTGACCTGCTTGGCAGTTCCCTAAGAGTTTCTTGTCAGCACTGGCTTTCATGCTGTGCATTTCTTTTTTCCAAGTGTTCCCAGATGGATGTGCAGACTTTATTTGGCTCTCTTCCAACCCTTCCCTTACCTGCTGCTGCATGTACGTTGCTTTGTTCTGTCTGCTTCCTTAGTGTTGACATCTTTTTGAGCGCTCTTTCTGTTTACTTCTCTGTTTCAGCCGTTCTTACATACATAAGGTGTACCTTATGGAACTGATCTGAAGCACCTTTCTCTTTTTGTTTTTTTTTTCTTGTTTTATTTGGTTATGACCTGATCAGGAAAAGTGATTCCATCTGACATGCCACTGATTGCAATATTGGCACAGTACTTATGGATGGCGAATTTAATTTAAATTAACTGGGAATTTGCTGTCAGGATTGTGCATAGCTTGTGATACCTCATGGGAGAAATGCTGAGTGACAGCTGGGTTTATCCTTTGCTTTCTTGCTTTCCATGTTCCAGGTTTGTTTGGGAGGAGAAGAGCATAGAACCATTGGAATTACTTTAATCAGGCTGTGGCATTGACCCCGGTAATGGTATTTGTTTGTTGCAGCTGCAGGATAGAAGGAGCAAAAATACAAATATTTAAGAGTCCGCTGGAGCCTTAACTGCAGTGTAGTTAAAGAGTTAGTGCAAGTCTTCAGTTGGTTTAACTTTATTTTTTTTTTTCCTACAAATTTCTGCAAAAACATATTTTGTCCTTCCTGAACTGTTGGAATTTTTTAATACCAATGCAAGTTTTCTTTGGCTATGAAGAGACGTCCCAAGCAATGTGATATTTGGGGGTTATTTTAGTAAGCTAGGAGAAAATGGGTTGTAGATATTGCTAGGTAGTTTGGTCTAGTTACCCATTTCGATTAATGCTCTGCTCCTTGGTGGTGCTTAACTCTAACAGCTTCAGAAGAAGAGACCTTATGGCAGTTACACAGATTTTTTATCTTTGGAAAATGTCACTTTAACCTCCTCAGTAAGAAGGGCATAGATTACTTATTTTTCTTCTAAAGGCATGAAAGTTTACATGTTTTAGGTTTATTCCCCCTACACCCCCCTTCTTAAAACTACTTTCACTTTGTTTCTATTAGGAAGAAGGCTAACGCAAACATGAGGTGTCTGTGTCCGTGTCCTTCCTCTGCCATCACTTTTTGGATTCATTTTGCCTCACTTCAACCAGATTTGACTGAGAATCAGAAATGTCAATGGTTGTTGAATTTGCATGGATTTTTAAAAAAAATGAATGAGGCAAAAGAGGAGGGCAAAAGAGAAATAAATCCTCAGGGGGAAAAAACCAAAACATTGTCCTTTCCATTGCTTGAGGGAAGCTAACTCTGTCCTATAGAAGCATCCAGTCCTCTTTGACTAGTAGACTGAACCACTGCCTTGTGGCAAACCATTCCATGGACTTCCTGAACATTTTGTGAAGAATAATATTGATAACGGGAATAAAAAACATCATGTGGATTTCCACTACTTGTAGCTGTTCGTATTCTCAAAGAGGTGGCGTGGGGAAAGGATGAACCAAGGAGGTTGAATATCATTGTGCGGAACTAAGCAAATTGTACATAACATAAAAGCAGCTGGAACAGAGAGATGTGATATATGTTGCTGCTGAATACAGAGAATAGAATTTGTCTTATTGTAAAATACTAATAAAGTGGATTTTATTTTCAGTTCTGTCATTGTTTTTTTGTTTTAGGTCCTGTTTAATATGATTGTAGAAGTGCCTCGTTGGACAAATGCAAAAATGGAGGTAATTAAGAAAAATACCTTGATTATATAGCTATTTATGAAAGTTATGACAGTGCAGTGGCTTCCAGTAGTCAGAGTTTAATCAGAGTGTGGATTACTCTTTACACATAAAATTTTCTCTGTTAAAAATTAATTTGAAGTTGCACGTTCAGACACTTTCCTTGTGATTATAAAAAGTGTTGAAGTTCTAATTTTGTTTCCCTTCTACGGGTGAGTACTGCATCTTGACAGTCCTCTGACTGCAGAGTGCAGCATACCTGCAATAGCATCCTAGAGTAATGGCTTGCAGGACATTGTCCAATATTTAGTCTTACTCCTGCTTGCTCATAGAACATTTCACTCAGAGGATTTAATTCCTTTCATTTCTGCTCTATAGTATGCTAGGCCAGATCCTGACAAATGGAGTTGCAAATGAAAAAGCATTTCCTTGTGACAAAAAAAATACTTGGGCACCTCACTGATTGAAAGTATCTACTCCTGTAGGGAGACATTTTAAAAGTAGAGCCTAGTGGGTTGTTCCTCTGCAATTACAATATAGAAGCTGAGTAATGCTTCATCTGTAGTGTTTGTGAAACAACAGATCTCACCAGGATATGTCCTGTCTTCCTGAACGTTTGTGTTAATTTTAGGTATGCTTCCTGGATGCTTTTAAAGACGTTGGTGGTTGAGCTGTTAACTATTTTGATTATTTAAAATAACACCAAAGAACCTTCTCAGCCTGTTATTTCAGAATTTTGTTTTCTCCTTTCCCTGATGCTGGAAAATCACTTGAACTGTGTTTACCACCACAGTGGATATTTACCTTGTATTTTAAGATGATGATTTATTGTGGAAGCTGAGTTCTCTTTTGTAGAGTTTCTCTTTGACAACACTATTTGAACTCTTTGTGTAAAGCTCAGGTTGCTCTCCCTCCCCTCTTCTTTGCACATTATGTCAAGGGTATAAAACTTTGCTGTCCTGTTAGGTTCAGAAATTGGTGGGTTTAGACTTTTTCTGGCTTGATAGAGGAGACCAGATGTAGCTCTCTAATCTGAACTCTTAATGTATTTGAAATTTCCTGCATTAATCGTTAAGGCAGTTGTCTTGCCTTGCCAGTGTCCTGGCAGTCCTTCAGTCCAGATTCTGGTAAGGTGCTAATACCAGGTCTTGTCTGCATCTCCGTGCTGAGATTCCCTCACATGGAATGGAGACTGTAGGAAATTAAACCTTGCCTTAGGATGAATGTTTCCCACTGTTACATCGCCAGTGCCAGATCTCCTGCTCATCAGTTTGTTGTACTTCTGTTGTTCTTCCCTTGATTTTACTGAAGGTGCTTTTCATGAGACTTTTGTCTGCTGTTGTCAGTTACTCCTCTTTGTCCTGGTTTACATCAAGAAAAAGCATTGTTGAGCTCTACTTCTGTCAAAGTCCCAGGTGGCATATTCAAGGTCTTCACTGTTAAGTTATGACCAGAAGCAGGTAGAACCAAGTGTGAAACCAGAAATGTGTGAACCTTGATCTCAGCTCTTGGGGAGATTTTACTTGTGGAATCAGTGCATGCTATTGATAGTTTGGTGTGGTTCAAAAAGGTGGAATTCCTTTGGGGTGGCTTTGGTGGTGGTGCTTTAGGTAAATTACAAGAATGTTATAAAATCAGTATGGACTAAGGGCTGTGTGCTTATGCATACAAACTATGTACTGCCTGAGCCAGTGTAACCACTTGAGCCTGTAACAAATGTGATGCCGTACAGGTGAATGTGTGTAAGCCAAGAGCCAAGCTAACATGGATTGGATTGTGGTGTGGAGTGTCAAAAGGATGGTGACAATGAATTAATTGATGCGTGGTAGGTAACTCATATGGCAGTGGGTTTGTATTTGAGGTTTTGGGGAGGATGATGACAATAATAAACTATTCAGCTTTAATTAGTTTAGTCCTTCTATGAGTGCTTCTTTGGGAATAAGAATGCCTTCTATGCTAGCTTAATTTATTCCAGATCTGCGGTAAGTTGGCATTTGATGACTATGCAGAACTTGTGCCTACTAAAAAGCATTTGTATGCTGAGAGGTGATGGAGAGAAGGGATGTATGCAATAGGAGAGCAATGAACAGAGGGTGAGAAGGTGAAACATTTCCCCTGTTGCTGTCAAAGCCCCTGTTGTCAGAAGAACTTGTGCCACCATTTGCATGTCTGTTGAACTTGTATTATAAAGTGCAGGAGCTTCTAACTTAAGTTCCTTTCAGTATTTATGTTTGACCATGACAGTCTCCTTTATAAATTTATGACTTTCTCTTCTAGATTAATTTTTTTTTGCATACTCCACAACATTATTTAAAACCTTAATAAGCTGCTTTTTGAACATGACCCTTGAGATTTAGAGTGAGGCCATCATAATTTTAATACTTCTCAAACCACAAGCACATGCTCCCAGATGGATCTTTCTAACTGGTTGGGTACAGAATGAATTGCTTTCCATTTTACCATTCTCTCTCTCTCTCTCTGTGTCTTTCATGATCTGCTTAGATTGCCACTGAGGAGCCGTTGAATCCCATTAAACAAGATATAAAGAAAGGCAAGCTTCGATATGTGGCAAATATCTTTCCTCACAAGGGTTATATATGGAATTATGGTGCCTTCCCACAGGTAACATTTTTGTTATAATGGTGAAAGTTTTCTGTCTTCTGTGTAAATTGCCTTGTAAATCTTGGGTACTGCTTGAATGCAAATCAGTTGCAAGAGGGATGTTTCTCTTTGATGCATTTGTAAATTAGGATTTTTTTTATGTTGAGCTTTATAGTGTCCATAAATTTTGATCAGAATTTGGGTGTGGGTGTAAATATGTGCTGTGTTTCAGGAAGGAGTTAAATGGTCAAGAAATCTTGAATCTTTAGTCTCCATCTCTGTACTGTAGTGACAGAATTAAACTGTCATGGTCTGCCATTAAAGAATACTTTGTCAAGTAGCCCTTTTCTGCTTAAACAAGGCATTTTTTAAAAAACTAATTTAGGATTTTTCATGTATTGCAGCATAAATTTTAATTGGGATTTCTTAATATCTTTAACAAAGAGGAACACGAGGGCTGCTCTTTTTTAGATTAAACCTCAACTGCCTTAGTTAACTTTTCTCTGAACTGTGAGACTTTACTGATCATGACACATTCAAAACTTTGAGCCTTGAAAAAGCCCAACTAATGGCTGAAATTCTCAGTGTAATGAAAAGTTTTAAACTTTTCATTTGGAGGAGGTTTGACCGTGGACAGCAGGAGCTAACAGTATTGCTCCTGGTAAAAGTTTTAAACTTTTCATTTCTATGAATAACATGTTGGACTTAAATTAGTACTGAAGAACGTGATGGAGCTAGAAAAGAGGAATTTTTTTTTCTTTACACTGAACTGCATAAGCAGTGAAAGTTTACTCCCGGAAATCTGCTTAGGTATTTGATCCCTGAAGAGGAGATACCAGGCAGGTGCTGGAGTATAGCAATGAAGTTCTTATCCAGTTAGCAGTCTCAGTAGACAAGGTTTCCAAGCAGGTATAGTTGGGAACCAGCAATTCCATTTAATGTTTTGAAATTTGATTGTGCCTTAGTACAAAGCCAAAATTAAACATTTGAATATTTTCCTGCACAAAGTGCATTATTTTGGACTGATGACACTTTCCCCAGGAGAAGTGTTCAGCTTGCCTTGTTACCTTGTGAGTCAGAGAGGGCTGGAGATAATTGTCATTTTTATTTACTGTAATAACTTTAAAATACCAGTTGGATCATTACACCTCCAATTGTTTGAAGACTAGATGATACTCCAGATTCCTGCTAGCAGCTGTAATAAACAAAATCCATTCAGTGTCTCCATTATCACAAGAGGATTTTTCATCAGGATTAGCAGTTGCCAGAAGTTCAACTCTAGTATATGGCTTAGATATGTATTTGTGGCTGCTGTTTTATACTGTGGAACAGAGAAGAAAAAAATGATGGTAGGACTACCATTATTGCAGGAGTTGCTGTGCTGTCCAGAGAACAATACCATTCCTAGTGAGCTTTCCTTCTAACCTACAGGTGGAGGGGTGCAGCTGTGCAGGAGAATAATACTGGTATAATGCAGCCTGAAATAAAAAGCACTTTGGAAGAGTATTGGAAAAACAAATTTTAAGTTGAAATCTTTTCTTCATGCCACTTCAGCAATTTTTTTGGTAGTGATTCTGCTACCTAAACACCTGACCATTTGCTTGTTCTCAAGAACAAGTTTGAGGTGGAAGTTTGACCATGGACGGCAGGAGCTAACAGTATATAGGTCCTTGGAAAAAAAGTTTTGTAACACTTTTTCAACAAAACTTCATTGGACTCAAAATTCTTACCAAGAAAACTTCTCAACTTTAGAATGAGTTACTCATTACTAGCCAGTAAGAGACAAAACAAGTACTGGTCTAGTAATTAAATTAGTATAACTTGGCTATGATTCCTTGTTTGTACAGAGCTCAGAGCAGGGATTTGAACTTGCCTCCTGGAGAAGCTTCTTTGGTCTTAAAACTGTTGGCTGTTCTTGGGAATGTACGCATCTCAAAATACTCAGAAGTATTTCATACCTAGATCTAAAAACTTTAAAAAGCTAATTGAGTGCAGACAAACCCATACCTAGGAGCTTGGTTAGCTCAAAGCCTAGATGTTTTTGAAAGCAACTTAGGTTAGTGCCATGGTATTTAAAGAGTATAATAAGAATGTAATTGTAGGGTGTTCTAGCTTAATCCCACAACTACTAGTAACCAGAAAAATACATATTCAGGGTCCTCTGATGCCTTAATCACTGCAATTTGATAACTGCATCTGTGACTCAGATACACTTTAATATTTTTGTTACTGTGTTCTCAGTAATCCTCATGTTACTTGTCCTGACTATGAGAATGAGTCACTCAACGTCAGTCCAGTGGCTGTTTGTTTGTTTGTTTGTTTCTTTTCCCATTAAGCAAGCCGGTTCTCAGAAAGCTGATGTTTTTATTGGTGTTTTTATTAACCCTAGTAATTTAGTGCTTAGATGAATTGTAATTGCAGATCAGCTGGTAACTGATAATTCTCTTTCCTTTGACAGACCTGGGAAGATCCAAACCATACAGATAACATTACAGGATGTTGTGGGGATAATGATCCTATTGATGTTTGTGAAATAGGTTCAAAGGTTTGTCTTCATCAGCGTTAATTTAATTTATTAGGGTTAATTTAATAATTTGGTAACAACTATTGGAAGAGAAGGGCAGATGGAAAACAAGAAAACATGGTAATAGTCTCAGGCGATGACAAAAGTAGGAGTAGAGGATCTGAGGAGGGACTAGGTAAGGAAATGGTGTTTTTTAAAAAGGAGAAAAAAAGCAGAATTTGGTAAAGTCTCTGTACTGGATAAAAGGGAAAATAAGAGAACACCACCCTGAAGTTCTGTGGCTGGACAGTGAGTTTTGGGTGAAGGAGGAGGGGGTTAAGATTTTTAGGGAAAGAAAAGCTTTCTTTTTTTTTTCCCCTGTTAGCAGTACTGGAGCTAGGAATAGGTTTCTGAAAGATGAGGAGGAATGTCAGTGTCATGCACATAAAATTACAAGGTCAGACCCACAAAGGAGGTAGGTTTGACTTTTCTCATAGGTTCAAACAGAAGTAGATCCCTCTCCTGTAGAGGAGAAGACAGGAACCTGTTGCAGGGTTATGAGATACAGAGTGGATGGATGAAAAAGAGGTGCAGCAAACACCGTTAGTAGGTATAGGGGAAGGGTTTAGCTCACTGAAAGAAAATTCTACGTATCTGGAGGCAGCAAAGAATGGAGCAGTCCTCCGTGGTATCAAAGATGGGGTTATGAAACGGATGGGTTTGAAAGAGGGGTCTCTTGGGATATTTTAGGTAAGGGGAAATTTAATTGGTGACCTCAGTGAAGGTGGTTTTATTTGAGGAAAGGAACCTAAAGCTGAATTTCAAGGGATCTAGAAAGAGTTGTAAAGGGAACATTAGCTGATAGGGACAAGGTTCCCAAGAAAATGCAAAAAACGGTTGTGCTGATATTTCTGGGGAAGGGGTGTGTGTTTATGTGTGTATATTGGAGTCTAGAGGAAGGAACAGAAAGACATAGATAAAGACCAAGAGTTGAGAAAGCAGACGTTAAGATGCAGGAAAGAGTTAAAAGATTAGTATGAGATACTTTGACTTGCAGTTTGGGGTGAAGATCAAGAAGGTGTGGGGGAAGTAGGGTAGAAAAGGAAAAATTTTCTAGCTTGTTGTCTACTTAAGTAAATACTGACTGGAGAATTGAGGATTGAAGAATAGCAATGGTGGGAGAAAGGCTAATAATGTTAAATAGATGTGTACTGCATTTACAGTTCTATCTTGCAATTCTGTTAGCTGCTGGTCAAAAATGTAGTAAAACTATTTTGTTTGTAAGGTAAAAGAGAAATTCTCTGTAGTGTTTTCCATATCTTTGTAAGGTTATGTTCTGTTTCAGATTCGTTCTTCTGGTGAGATTGTTCAGGTGAAGGTCTTGGGTGTTTTAGCTCTAGTTGATGAAGGAGAGACAGATTGGAAGATAATTGCTATCGGTGTGGATGACCCAGAAGCTCAGAAAATCCATGGCAAGTATTTTTATCTTTCTTAATGCAAGTTTTGTCAGCAGCTTGCACAGTAGAATGGTTAGAATGAGTTTAGGCCACCCAGGACAAGAAGAGGTAGACAGCAGAAAGGCAAGACTTGTTGTTGTTGTTGTTGAAATCAGGTGCTTCCTTTAAAAAGGGCATATTTGCTTTCACACTAAGCTTTTGGAAAGGTTCACTTGGATTTTCAAGAGGACCTGTCATGCAGAAAGTCTCTTGACTTCTGAAACACAACTGCCTTAGAAAGTGACCTCTTAAAATTACAGGCTTATCTCCTGTGTAATAGTGCATATTTACCCACCCGGATTATGTAGCATGCTGCTATTTTTCTTGTTGAATGTGTTTGTTCCTTTTATATTTGCAGGCATTGAGTTGCATTCTGAAAAGGGCTGTACATTTCCAGTGTTCAGTTGCTTGTAACTGGGTTACTTCCAGGGTTTGTTGCCTAGTATGAATGATTAGGTTTCACCTTTTAGCTTGAAAACTTGTAAAGGAAACTGCTAACGCTGCTCACCCTACTTTCAGCCTTGATGATGACTAGCTGTGCAAGGGGAAATATCCTGTCCAGACTTGTCCTCCTTGTGACCATGCTTCTCGTATCCAAATGGAATTCAAGTACTACAGTGTGTCTGTGTGAATAGCACGAGGTGTAATTCTGCTTGCAGACTGTTCAATAAGATGATGATACAGACGTATTAAAACTGCAGGGAGTTAGGTTTTTACAGCACAGGTAAAGTGCAGCTTTTCTCTGGATAAATGGAGGTTCACTTCCTCAAATGCAGTGTTACTGGGAATCATGAGAATTGAGGAGGTTTGTCTACAAGTTAGTGATTGTTATGAGATCAAAAACCATATATACCATCAGGTATGTATGATCAGAGCCTGCCCTTTGTTGGTAGGGAGCACCAACGCAGAGAGTGGCCTTTCTGTAGGAATAGGGCTATCCAGTAGCTTTTTAAGGAATTATGTTTCTTGGCCATTGAGGCTTTTTCCTGGTTTCTGAATGTAAAGTAAGTATATCACTGGACTGGCCCTTCATTCTCAGTTTTCTTGCAGGTTGCTTTCACGTGGAGAATACTTGGCTTGTGGGGAAAGAAGGGGAGAAGAGGAGATGAGGAAAAGGAAACTCTTGGGTTGATGCTGATTAAAATCATTGGGCAGATGAATTACTACATAGTGTTTATGACACTCTAACTACTTTGACAGTTAGAGATTAAGAAGTTCAGCTTAAGGAAATAGTAAGTAATAGTTTGCTGTTAAACGTTAGTATCAATTTAAACCTCTCTATAATGTGTAGTGAAATGTGATATAAGTGTCAGTAGTTAAAAGACAAGTAATTAGCACTTTATTTCTCTACACTGTTCTGTTTAACTCTTACCTTTTTTCCCTATCAATTTCTGAGAGAGTTTAGTCAGAAAAGTGGGTGAGAGAATGTAAAAGGAGTCTACTAAGTAGGGGCAAAACTGGGACAATTTATGCCATTGGGTTAAGCAGCTCTATTTGAAAGCCCTCTGTTTTGTTTTTTTCAGGTAATGACTGATTTGTCAGCTGTGTTACAGCTTTAGTTCGTTTGGGAGGGGAGTAAGAGTTTTAGTCTTTAAAGGGGGGGGGGAGGGCAAACCATCACCTGTAGTTGATTTCTGCGTGCAACCTTTCTTATCAAAGAATAGGTGCAAAACCTCAAGAAAGAAACTGTCCTTCTGAGGTTCAGAGAAGTGCAGAAATATTTATCCAGTTTAATCTGATTTCCCTTTGGGATTGGAGTTGCAGTCCAGAATTTACAAAAGGAAAGTAAAAGGGGAAAAAAAAAAAAGCCCCCATCTGCTTTCACAAAACATGACTTGCTTGCAGTGTTTAACAGCAATCCTTCTTCAGTCTCAAAAAACAAACAAATCTGTTGGAGTAGGCAGTACAATATGTCCTTTTATACTTGTTTTTCCCCCTTCTCAAAGTTGTTAATTATTTCAGCATAAAGGGATAGCAGCTACAGATAAAACCGGTATCTCCCTCAATAATTGACGTGCTGCTGTGTTACGGTGGTGGCATCCTAGGAAAAGATGAGGCTAAGTGTTGCCTTCTAAGTCTGTCCAGTCCTTTTTTTGTTTCATTTGCTAAACATTTCAAATTGGACTGAGAATCATCACATTTGCTTTCAGCTCAGTATGTGCACAGCCCCCAGTGAACATTTGGAAAAGATAATTCTGAGACACCAGAGTGGTGATTACTTGCAAACCCCATCCTGAGCCCGTGCAGTGTGTTAACTCCTCTTGCTGCTTTAAGCACACCCCAGGTACTCTGTATATTCTCCTTCTGGGATTTGTGATCGTTCTCATAAGTGCAATTGATTTTTCTGAGACTTCACAGAACTTAAAACTAAGCAGTCCTAACTTCTGAGCAGTTCTCATTGTTTATTCATAGCACTCCACTGTACTGTGTCCTGCAGGCATTTATTGATAAATACTGGTTTAAATTGGAAACCCTGCCTAGAACACTCTCTTTCACACAGAGCAATGAGAAACTCTAGTTTATAGTGACAATACCCAGGAATGATAAGGAATGCTTAGCAGCTATTCAACTGGGAACTGTGTCATTAATGGAAATAGCAGGGGCTTAGTGTCTTCTTGGACTGATTTTGGAGGTAGTCTGTTTGAAATTATAGCACTTAATACTGATGGGCAAGGGGACAATCTCACTCCAAATCCAAGCTGTATGTCAGATGATGTGTCATGATATGTCAGGTGTCTGTATGTGATTTTGTTTTACATTAAAACTGGACATCTTAAGATTGATCTTATTTCAATAAGATCTGTCTGTGGGTACCTGAAAACCACTGTGTTGTCTTTCTGCTCGGGCAGTTGCTAGGCAGATGGCCATTAGTGGACCAGAAAAGCAGCTTCAGACCAAGCAAGTCTGGGAAAGGGCCTAAAAGCTCCCCACACACTGAAACACTAAATCTTGGAGGTGTTATAGGCCTGTCTGCTTTTTTTGTTGTTGTTGTTGTTTGGTTGTTTTTTGTAAAATACTAGCCAGGAGAAGCAGCAAATACTTGCAGTGGAGAGGCTGCTTAACTGCTTATCTCATAATTTGGATTGAATTTAATATATTGGAATTCACATATCTGATGTGCTTTACAAGGTTGGGCTCAGAAAGGATGAGTGATATTTTTGTGCTGTAATTTGGTCTAAATGTATATGGCATCTTCATGCTGGACAAGAGGTTTTGAAAATCACTGGCAGTTGAAGCAGGAAGTGTGTTTGAAGCAGCTTATGAGAAGTCTGACTTTCAAAAGGTCATCTTACCTTCCCTGAGCAAATTGGACAAATCATGTATGCTGGATGGCATTTTAGAGGTGATTTACCAGCCTGGAATCTTAGCAGCTGTTTTTCGCTCTTGCTCATGGAAAGATGCCTGGATATATTCAACAGCAGTTGGTGATGTCTACCGGCTTTGTTGCACTACCCTTCGCTGGCACTGGTACAGTTAACTGTGCTATGTTGCCATGCTTCTTTTCCAATATGCGACTCAAGATTGGCTTTTTGAGTTAAGTGATCAAACCCTAAATGGTAAAAACAAAGTATATTGCATACTTTGTACCATATATTGTTATAGACCCTTGCATGTGAGTGTATTTATATGCAGAGAAGCAGCAGAGGCCCTGAAAACTTTTGTTGTGGATTTGTGTAAGCATTCAATATAAAGAAATTAATTATCTGTACTGAGGCTCCCCTCCTACCCCCTCACACCATGCTGCACAAAATACACCAAATGCCTTTATATGGAATGTAGCTGCTGCTTCCTGTAAATGTTTATAAGATGTTATTAAAAACATATGTCCTCTCTTCCCACAGACCTTGTTTAGAAGGCTTGCTGCAAGCATGTTGTTTTAGCTTTGCTTGCAAGAAGCAGCATCTGTTGTACTAAAAATGGTAGTTTTGTACAAATGCTTTTGTTGCTCTCTTTTGTAAAGCCAGATAGAATAGGGATCTGCGTTTGCATTGGCTTTCTCCCTTGACAGAGAGCTAACATCAATTGTTTGTGCCAACCTCTAGAGATTTTCCTTATTGAGACTAAACTGCAACCCTTAATGTGATTAGCCATCTCTTTTTAATCCTTGGTGCTTAACTTAGGTGCCCAGAAAAATGGGACCTATGGTTGTATGTAGGCAGTATAAGGAAATTGCCACCAGTGGGTATGTGGTGATAATGTACCTGCAGGAGCCTGACCTTTCTGCTCTGTCACTTTGAGCAGGGCTTGCTTGCAGAGATGAAACCACATTAGGCCTGGTACATGTTTGCTACTCCTGTACTTGCTCGGCCCCTTTTGACACCAGTGGGAGTATATAGCTCTAAGGGAAGGTGAGCACTCAGGGTCAGAAAAAAGTGTCTAACAGTATCTGCTGCAGAAAGGACATGTTTGTTTGTTTGTTTTTTTAAATTAGAATATGCAGCTAGCTCTTACAGATATTAGTGCAGTAAATCACTGTACTGTGATCTTTTCTTTTACCTTTCTTTGCTTACTCCTCTGTTTTCTGAGTATACTTTTCTCCTTCTCGCCCTGATATCCCAAAGATGCTGTTTGGATTTCAAAGTGAAGGACAAGCTGTCTTTCAAGCTTTCCTGTGGCACCTTTTAATGAACTGAAGAGGTAGTTGTTGAGTGATGCGAGAGCTGCTGTTTCCCTTATATTTTGTGCTATGTGCTGACTCCACAGCAACAGGATCTTTTTCTTTTTTTTCTTTCTTTTTTTTGTTGCACCATGCACTTTTTCCTGCTGCTTGCCACCAACTCCTATTATAATAGAGATGTTGTTTGTTTGTTTTCTTCAACCATTTAAGCTTCATTTGGTGCCTAGTAGCTGTCTTTCATAAGAAAAAATAGTGAAGTGAAGCATGGGGATGAAGGAGTGTAACTTGCAAGGAACCAAGGAAATAAAAGCAACCACTGTCCCCCTTCTTAAGTCCTCAAAACCAGAGTATACAGCAGCCAGTACTTTAGGGGCCATATAATGCTGTAGCCTGATTCTGTGTAGTCATTTTACCTAGGCAAGGTGTTTTCCAGTAGAGGGAGTGTGGAATTCAGAGAGATGATTCTATCCATGAAGATGGTCATTCCTATCTTAAGGAGGTAATGAAAGCCTGCCCCAAAGCCTATTCTAATATTTGAGTCCTTTACAGAAATACAAACAAAGCCTATAAATAAGGAGCAACAGGTGGAGAAGGGCCCAAGTGTCAGTAGACGGTAAAGCACTTTTGGTAAACAGTTGTTATAGGAATGGGAGGCAAATAACCAAGTAGGAGGAATGGAAAAGCAGAGTTAGGAGAGAATTTTGCTGGAACAGGAACCAGAAAAAAGGAGCAGCAGTCTGAGAAAGTATGCTTGAATTTAAGTAGTGTCTGAAGGTGGAGATCTAGAGTTCATCCACTGCTGGGAGCCAAGAAAATTGCTGCAGCAGCCTGGTTTGCTTTACAGACTTGAGGAGATACTGTGTCTTCAAAAAACAAGTGTTAGAAATTGTGAGTTCAAATCTCACAAGAAGTGGAGATGACAAAGGCTCAAGATGGGAGGAGGGATGTTCCCTTGTTTGTAGAGAACAGGATGATACGCTGGGGCCCTGAAACTGATTGAATTGGTGCTGCAGTTTTATTAGTGCCCAAATGAAGCATCCTGCCTCCCACCAAGACCCCACCCTTTTATAAATCATTCCTTCTTGGTTGGTCTCACCCACCCCAGGGAAAGGCTTCTTGTACTCTTAAACATGTATTCCAGCTAGAAGACCTGCCTCTAGCACAGCCTTATGTGCCCTTGCTTTTTTCTGGGATTCTGCCAATGAAACTCCCTAATATTCTGCAGGCAGATGGCCAGCAGCCAAATTCAAAATGTGTTTTACTCCAAGTCCATAAACACATAGCCCTATTAAGTGCATGCAGAAGCAAAAATTTACATAGGGTTCTTCAAAGTTTTATGTTTTATTCTTTGGGTAGTGTGTGATCCATTGGAATTTGGGAATGGCATCTATCAGATGCCTATGGACACTCAGCATATCTTCTCACATAGGTTTGGTCTCACAGTTTAGTCGACATGTCATCTCTCTTGGTGGTCTACAGAGAATTGAATGGTCTGTAGCACAGCACTTTTTCTCTTCTCCTACTGTTCTCTTTAGAAACACTTGAATGTCTTTGTTCAGGTTCACAGACTAGATTTTAAAAAGACATTTAGGCACTTAAAGATGGAAAGCACATGACTAGGTGTCAATTCTGTGGACTAAGCAACTCTGAAGATCTGTTTTTATAGGACTGGATAGACAGAAGAGTATCCATCAGGAATCACTGCCAAACAGGAGATGTCAGTGAGTGAGGCGTACCTATGGGAGAAGAGAATGAAGTAGCCAAGCAGTATGGAGAGAGAGCAAGAGGCAATCAGGAAGGCAGAAATGAGCAAGTGACTTGCAAAACACTAGAGAAGGAGAATAACACCATGGAAGGTGGCCTGGCCAGACTGAGGTTATGAAATAGCTGGAAGACTGTGTGCAAAGCACAGCAATAAAAAGTCAGCTCCCATTTCCATGAGAAGTGACTGTAGGAGGGATACAGATGGAAAGAGAAGGATTACACCAGCTACCAGAAGTACTTGGCTTCTGGAAAGGACAAAATCCTTTATTGTATCAAAATCAATTAGAATTGCATTGAAGGCTTTTCCATATAAACATATTGCCGGAGAGTTAATTTGCCAAGGGGCTGATAGGACCAACTCATTGCAAATGACAGGAGTGATGGTAGTCTTGCAGGACAACCTGGTAAAATTTGATATGCACAGCAGAAGTAAACGTTTAAGATCATGAACCGCATCTTTGCTATAGCAGTATAGCCCTCAAGCGGAATTACTGTGTGACTGTTTAATCTCTCTGTACCCACTGTGGCAGTGCTCATCTCTGCCTCCCAAGGGTGTCCTGCAAATGGCATGCGTTCCTCTTTGTGTCCTGTTCCATCTTTGCACGGTAGGATTATAGAGGTAAAGGTAGAATTGGCTTATCACTGTGAGTATACAGATATCGTGGGGTTATCAGTAGAGTTAGTGTTTAGTGCTCCTGGCACGCGTCTGTCTTGTATCTAATGGGCTGAATTTGGAAGTAATGTGAGCAAAGGGATGCCTTTAATATAACTTTGAGAAGTCAAGCCTGTATTTTGTTTTGAGGTGCTGGTTTAAAAATCCATGTGTTGAAATTGTTTTTACTAGCTATTCTTTCATTATCAAAAAATGCCTGTAGTCCCTGCAGTTGCTGGGGAAAAAAATTACCTCACTGAATAATCTAAGTATTGCAAGAGGTACCTACTGAGAGGAAAGCCTGTAAATAGGGAATTTTCTTCCTCTCCTGTCACAGGTATGGTCCTTTTATTCATTGTCCCTTTGGGTCTTAATTAAAGAAGGGCAGGAGGCAACTGTTTTACCTGTTTAGTGTGGTTGTGAAATCATAAGATATCAACTGTGGGCAGCTAATGTAATAAAGTGGAGTTCCCCAATGACTTTGAAAGTGCTCAGTGAAATCAGATTGCTTGCAGATCCTTTATGAGACTTTAAAAAAATGAATATTACAAAAACTCTGAGTAAAATGACCAAATGACCAGTCTTTTTTTTTTTTTTTTTTTTTTTTTAAACCTACAGATATTGATGATGTCAAGAGGCACAAACCAGGTTACCTTGAGGCTACGGTTGACTGGTTCCGATTCTATAAAGTCCCTGATGGTAAACCGGAAAATCAGTTCGCTTTTAATGGAGAATTTAAAGACAAGGTGAAGATAATCCAAAATTAAAGATACATTGTTCTGTCCTGTGGCCTCTTTTAATATATCCAGAATTTTTGAAATTGTAAAGGAGGACGTTTAACAATAAAAATTCTTATACGAGGGATCTTTGAATACAATTTATTAGGCTAGGAATAAATAATGTTTGCTGCCTTCCATTTTATTCAGGGAGAATGCATGGGTTATTAAAGGAAGTCTGCAAAAAAACATTCAGTCCTAATCCTGACGAGACTTACACATGCATCTGTGTGTTTGTAGGGGTTTTTTTCACAGCATTTTCATTCTCCTTGTCAGAGAAATGAATGGATTGCCTTTTCAGGTATTTTTTCAGTCCTGGTTGATAAATTTTCCTTACTTCTTTTTTTAAGGCTATGCAGTTTGACAGACAGTGGGTTGCAGATTTTTTCATATTTGGTGTTTCCTCAAGGTATACTTTTTCCTGGTAATTCTATGTAAAAACATTTGAACTGTGTTTGGCTTGAAGGCCGAAAAAATATTTTCCCTTTTTTAGAAAAAAATGAATGGCATTTTAAACTACCTACAATAGAAATGGCCAGTGTTTGAAAGGAGAGTAGACCTGGGAATAGACCTTGCTGAAGAAAATACCTGGATTTTACCAGAAGAAATTGGGTATGATTTGAGTAAGAGAGCTTTGCAAATCATGTATTGCACACTCTCTGTAGACTATTTTTGGCAAAGAATCACAGGTTCCTAATGAGTGATGTCCATGTGTCAGCTAGTTCAGCCTTGCAGTGTGCTATCAAAGTTATAAAATGCCTTCTAACCAGCACAGGCAACTTTGCATGTTTTGTCTGGTTAAAGAGATGCCCTGACTCCCCTCTGCACTAAAACTGTCTTTTAAATCAATCAAATGTAGAGCTGTGAGGCTTGATAACCTGATCATTCCCCTGTTCTCCCAGGAACTGCTCTTGGAGATTTTCCTCCTCTGTAAAGCAGAGTGTTGCTCTGTAGCGACAGTTTAACGGTATATCCCTGTCAGGCCATTGGAGTTCAGGCTTGAGGCACTGAATGCCCCAAGATAGCTGTTTTGGAGCACTTGAATAATTCTCAAGCATTTCTAGAGACCCAGGATGTGGCGAGGCAGCCATGGCTGTGCTCCAGCAGCTCTGGTGAAGTTCACAATGTTCCAGTGGCATTTTGCCAGGTCACTCCTTGTTAGGAAATGTGAATGTTCTGTTGGCAGCTTTTTGCAAGCCAGTCTAGATATCGTCATCTGGACACTGAGGGCTTATTTTACTTTATTTTTTTGAAGCGTTTTAATCCCTACCCCACCCCCAATATTACTTTGGTTTTAAACAAACAAAAACTGTTAAGCAGCTGACATGTTACGTTGTTGCAAATGCTTAAGTATATGATTAGGCAATTAATGAAGTAAAAGCAAATTTTGCCACTAGAGGGGAAACTTTAACTCTCACCCTGATGTGCACGTGTAACGGAGGAGTCATAGCTTACACACTTTGTCCCATTTAGGACCTGGTACACTTTTCTACAGCTGTAGGTGTCTGCTTAGCATCTATTGCTGATGTAATTTTTTTCCTTCAGCCTTCATGTTTTCTGGCTGCAGACTGAGGGAAAGTCCTGAATGTGTTGCCAGTGCATTTGACAGATAGTGAAGTTTGTTTCTTTTCATAAAAAGAGTGTTATATTTTCCAGAAATTTAATGAGACCTTGAAGGAGGCCCCTTAAAATAGCACATGAAACAGTATGTTTTAATAAACTAGTTCTGTGGCTTTTTTTCTGCTTAATAACATTTTAATTCATAAAACTTTTCCTTGATGTAAACTAGGATTTTGCTGTTGAAATTATTAAATCCACCCATGAATACTGGAAAGCTTTGCTTCATAAAAAGGCTGATGGAGGCACTATTAAGTGGTATGTATCCAGTCGTGTCTTTTCCTCTGTGTATTGTGCTGGTACTGGTGGTATTCAATATGTGGCAGCTATGCATGAACTTCTCAGATTTATTCATTTATGTACTTACTTACTTACTTTGAGGTGACAGGAATACTCATGGTTTTGATTGATAATTAATTGATAAGAGACTATGATTGACTAGTTGCACATTGTATGACAATGATTTACTGGTACGTGGTTCCAAAAATATATTGATTATATAAAAGTGAGATAGATTACTTCAACTTTCAAGAAATGGCCCCAGAGTGTGTGTTTGGGATGGTTTGGGGAGAATCTTGGTATACCGTGCAAATCCTCTTGTCACTGTTCTTTCCATCCTTCAGTGCTGCATTGCTGTGTTGCAAAATTATTTTGCAGCTTAGCATTCCATATTTTGTAGTTGCTCTCTGAAATGAGAACACCAAATTACTGTTCTTTACTACCTTTTGGCCTGATCTAAATTAAAATGGACTTCATTAAGCTCTCTGGACTGGTTTGCATTGGCACTTCCGGCACCAGAGGCCTCGAAGAGCAGGCAGGTATCTTTGCCTGGTGCTTTCCAAGGGCTGTAGATTGCCATTAGCTAAAGCAGAGGGCAAAGGCTATGGGGGAAGCTGTGCTCAGATAGTCACTCTTGTCTTCTACTTCATTGGGAAATGTGACTTTCTCTCTTGGAGCCATTTGAACACCTTAGGACTTGGATAGGTTGGTAGTACTGCTTTAGCATGGAAAGAATATGTAGGATAATATTCAAATTTTGGTCTTGGATCATTTCAGAGGCACTTTGAGCTTCACGTTCACGAAATTAAAAAATAAAGTTGCAGTCTTGCTTTGAGGAATTGAACTTCTTGCCATTTACTGTGTAGGACTTTAAAAACTCATGACTAAACTCACTTTTGCTGTGAAAGGATATATATTCATAGGGAAATGTTTCTGCCAACTGTTTGGTCCCAGAGTTTGTCTGCTCTCTGGAAGCAGTACAGGTATCTGCTGCTTTATGTAGGAGCAGAATTTTGACCTGTTTTTTCCTTCTTGTTAGACACTGCAGGCAGGTTCCTGCAAACCAAGGGTGGCCTGCCACAGAATCTGTCTATCTTTCAAGGCACAAGAGACAGGAGGATATTCACACCATCTGTGCTAGCCATCTAGGTGGTGTTCAACTCCCTCGGGAAGTGCCAGTTTCTCCTGCTGACTTTTTGGGGGGATTTAGTTTCTTAACTGTGGTCCTCTGAACTGTACCCAAGTTAGCTGCCAGAAGCACCAAGTGTGAGCACTGCTTGCGTTCATATAGAACATATAGCCTAAAAAATCCCTCAAACCCAAAGAAACAAAGAACACCCCTCCACACCCCTGTTCCCTTCCAACATTACTGGTTAGTTCGTGTTTTTGACTTCCTCATTTCTTGCAGGTACATATTTCTGAGCTCTGTATGTGAAGGTGTTTTTTTTTTTCCCATAGGTACTTAATTGTGTGTGGCTCTTTTCCACTGATTGGTAAAACATGTTTTTAATTTTATTTTTCAGCACAAATGTTCTGGTGAGTGGCAGCCCATTTTGTTGCAGTGAGGAGGATGCCCGATTGATTGTGCAGTCGGTAAGGTTAATATTTACTTTTTTCCACCTTTTTTTTCTATAAAGTGATTAATACGAAAAGAAGATGCAGAGCTCCAGAACTGAAATAAAGCAGCTAAACTGAAATGGTCCTTAGACAAAAAATTAAGGCATAAAATAAAAGTAAAAGCACAAAGGTTGTGGGGGAAATGTACATTATAATATGAACCTTTCATTGCAGTGGTCTAATTGTGCTTTCTGGCAGGTTCATTACTGTTCTGGTAAGGTTTTTTTTGTTTTGGGTTTTTGGTTTTTTTTCCTCCTTCTGCAGTGCTGTTTCTTCTGATCCTGAATAGCAAGATGGACTGCTATTTGTATCTAGCCTGCTGTCTTCTCTGTCTCCCCTGTTGCCATGAGTTACCACCCAGTGTTAGAACTCATTGACTAGCTGACTGTAGTCCCTAATCACTAAAGGGATCCTTTGTTTGTCTACTTGCATAATTAAATGTATTGCTGTAAGAGGGGGATGCTGTTTTGAATGTTTCTTAAAGAATGCCTGTCATATTCTGAAAATTAACATAAAATTAAACCATGCAGGTTTCCTGTTCAGGCAAGAAAAATGTCCTGCAGGTCTGATGCTTTCATGTGCAAATGCAAATTCCCTCCATTTTAAAATATGCTAGTTTGGATGCCAGAAGTTAAGCAAAGTTACCAGAAATTACATGGGGAAAAGTACCCCCAAGTATTGCCTTTTTTTTTTTTTTTTTTTTTTAAACATATGCCATGATTGAGCCTGTGCTCATGACCACATGAGCATGGCAGGTATTTTGCACATGTGCATGGCTGCCTGGGCAGCCAGTGTTTTGCCCCAATAGTCACAGTAATTATGCAAGTTCAGGTGTTAAAGGAGACGCCATCCAGTGTCTGCGCAGTTAACATTCCAACAGCATTTCTATTAAGAATGTGTTGTCCTGGGTGGTGTTCTGTCACAAGCAAATAAGACTGTCAGTTGCAAAGAAGAGTTGGTTCAAGTCATAAAGAAGTGCCAAACCTGTTTCCTATTCAGGTCTCTTGCTTTCAGCACTTTCTTAAAAGTACCTTTATGGTTGCACTTGTGAATGTTGATTAATGGGACTTCTAAGTTTTAAATGAAAGAAAAACTAATTTTGGAATTCAAATATGTTTTTAGACATGTCAGTCACAGCTATAAGCAAATATTTACCTCCTCTATACTTCCAAATTTACAATAACTTTTAGTGAGTGTTTAAATGCAACTAAAATTTCAAGTTCAAATGTATTTGGAATGTGACAAACCTGCAAAGGAATATTCCCTTTTGTGTTCTGTGCTGTTTGTACTTTGAAGCGTGTAAGGTAAATAATTATCTGTGTAAATTGGCATTATCCATTATTTTGACTCTTAATAATAGATCAAAATTTTTCCTGTTTTTTTGAGGAGGTTAGTAAAACCAGTTCATAAAATTGGTACCTTGTATCAAACTTTAATGTCTCTTTTTATTATGAGTGCTTGCCTTCTTATCAAATATTACCACTTCTTGGCTTTTTTGTGCCTCACGTTCATTTACTTTTTTTTTTAAGTTATATTGGTTTTAAGTTAAACTTTTTGTGAAGTTGTCATCACATACTCCTTTCCATCATTCTGTTTAAGTTCAGTCTAAATATTTTAATTGTGTCTTTGCAGGGTACTATCTCTTGGTACTTTTCAGACAGGGAAAAGATGCAATGCTCTTTTAAACACTGTTCATACTGCATGCAATTTCCAATCTATGACAACTAAAAAAAGTAAAATGCTCTTGAGTTATGAATGGTGGACAGTCAAACTCTAAATATAAGCAGGGAGGTTGACTTGCACATTTCAAAAAAGTATCTTTTTGTCTAGTGCACTACACTGCCCACTTTGGTTGTCAGGCATTCATCTCTTTCAAACTGAAGTGAAAGCACATGAGTGTTGGCTGCAGAATTTTAATGGCTGTGGTAATTTTAAATGAAAGCTGCCTGTGTCTGGGTTTTTTTTTGTTTGTGGTTTTTTGTTTTTTTGGTTTTTTTTAAACTAAAACCAGATACATTTTCTGCTAACTTATGTCCATCTATTAACTTCTGGATAAAAACAGAAGAATGAAAGCTAAGGTAGAGATTTTGTATGCAAGTAAAGTGAGAAACATTTTAGCTACTGCAAAGTTTCTGAGCTACTTGTGCAGCGAGAGCTGATTCCCTACAATTCTGTTTCTTGGGTCAGGCTCCAATTACGGAATTTTTGAGTGGGTGATAATTGCCTTAAATCAGGTATATTGAGTTCTTAAAAACAAAACAGAACCACCCAAAAAGCAACACTCAGTATTGTTATGAACCAATTTTTATGGTGAGCAAGAGAACTATAAGAACCAAATGGAAAACAAACAAATCCTTACCAAATGCTTACCAAATTGTGCACTAATCAGAATTTCACATAGATTTTGACTGGGTAGTTGCCAAGATAGTCCTGTTGATTTCAGTAGGATTTATTGTGCTATTATCTGACCTTTCATTATTTTACAGATACGGGACTAGAACAGCTTGTCTGTATTGGGGAATTTTCACTCCACTGAGTTAGTTTCTAGACGATAGGCACATGTACTGTCATATGTATTGGTGGCAAACTGGGAATGATTCTACAGTTGGTCAAGTTGCCATGTCCAGTCAATCCTAAAGAGACAGAAGATAATCTGTGCATATGGGAACACACACTGAACATTTGAACCAGCCAAAATTACACCAGCCCCCTGCAACTACAAACCCAGCTGAGTTTTAACACTAGGTAGTGAATATTTCTAGTGTTCTCTAGCCTCTGAAAATTGTTTCATCTCTTTCTTAGCTCCAGTGTTAGTGTATGTTGAAAACTAAACCCAGGAGGAATAAAGCTTCATAGCTGAATGTGTTAGTGCTGAGATGTACTGTTTATTTCAGGCTTTTAAGTGTTGCCATCTGTAAAACTGACCAGGACAGCCAAACCTTTGTTTAACATTAATCCTGAGAACTGCTTGCTCACTTGCTCTGTGAAGAAGCTGCTGAGGACTTTGCAAGTTGGAAAATCTCCAAGACAATCTATATATAGTTAGCAGAGCAGTGTTTCTCAGACTTATCACATAATTCTTCCCCTATAATACTGGAAAGTGGACTAGGAAGGCTTTGCTAGATGAGGTCTCTTTTGATAAAATGCAGAACCGTGTTTTACAGGGGAAAATACTTGGCTTTTCCTGATAATTTAAAAATTTAAAAAAAAAATTTGAATCTGTGTACTTAACTAATGTGTTTCAAATAATTCAGATCTAATCAAGAAAGTCTGTTAACTGCCTTTCTTCCTACATGTTTTCTGTGAGGACGTTTCCATTTGGGACTTGGTAGAAGCAGAATTTTCTGTTCAGTGGCCAGTTGTGAAACAAAAAATTGGTGGGGTTTTTGCTCTGGGTTTTTTGGTTTTGTGGGTTTGTTTTGTTTTGTTTTTTAAATTATATTATTTACTTGTTTGGTTTTTTAAACAGTGTTCCAAATGAAAGGGTTGTGTAGTAAAGAGATTCCTCATTTGGTGGGATATGGTTTTGATTTGTTCCTGGTGGGAAGGTGTTGAGTCCTTATATCAAACTTCCTGAGTAATTATCCCAGAAGTGGGAGGCACCTCCTTATACATGGTGACCACTGGTTCTCCCTGCCTTATGAGATAAAGCTTTGGTTTTACTGGAAAGAGAGGGGAGGTTCTGGTGTTAAGGCCTGGAAGATGCTTTACATAAAGCACAAGAGCTCTCCATCCCCACATCTAAGAAATCAGGAAAGGATGGCAAGAGACCCACATGGATGATTCAAGACCTGCTGGTCAAAATAAAGGGCAAGAAGGAAATACACAGAAACTGGAAGCAGGGGCAAGTATCCTGGGAAGAGTGTAGGGACATTGCCTGGTTGTATAGGGATGGGGTCGGGAACGTGAAGGCATGGTTGGAGTTGAACTTGGCAAGGGACGCAAAGAGTAATAAGGACTTCTATAGGTATGTCAGCCAGAAAAGGAGGGTCAAAGAAAATGTACCCCACCCTGATGAACACAACTGGCAAACAGGTAACAACGGTTGAGGAGAAGGCTGAGGCACTCAAGAACTTTTTTTTAACTCAGTCTTCACTGGCAACCTTTCTTCCCACACCTCTCAAGTGGATGGACCTCAAGGCAGGTACCAAGGGAGCAAAGTCCCACTGTAAGAGAAGATCCGGTTTGTGACTGCCTGAGGAACCTGAACATACATAAGCCTACGGGAACTGATGAGATGCATCCCAGAGTCCTGAGGGAATTGGCTGATGTAGTTGCCAAGCCAGTCTCCATGATATTTGAAAAGTCATGGGAGTCAGGTGAAGTCCTTGGTGACTGGAAAAAGGAACATTGCACCTATTTTTAAAAAGGGTTGGAAGGAGGACCCAGGGAACTACTAACCTGTCAGCCTCGCCTCTGTGCCTGGGAAAGATCATGGAACAAATCCTCCTAGAAGCTATGCTAAGTCACATGGAGGACAGGGAGGTGATTCAAGACAGCCAGCGTGGCTTCACCAAGGGCAGGACTTGCCTGACAAACCTAGTGGCCTTCTGTGATGGAGTGTCTGTATCAGTGGACAAGGGAAGAGCTATGGATGTCATCTATCTGGACCTCTGTAAGGCCTTTGACACAGTCCCCCACAAAATCCTTCTCTCTGAATTGGAGAGATATGGATTTGATGGATGGACTGTTTGGTGGATGAAGAATTGGTTTGATGCTCGTGTCCAGAGAGGAGTGGTCAACAGTTCAATGTCTGCATGGAAATCAGTGATGAGGGGTGTCCCTCGGGTCGCTACTGGGACCAGTACTGTTTAATATCTTCATCAGTGACATAGACAGTGGGATTGAGTGCATCCTCATCAGGTTTGCAGATGACATGCCTGAAGAATGGGATGCCACCCAGAGGGACCTGGACAAGCTGGAGAATTGGACCCATGTGAACCTGGTGAGGTTCAACAAGGCTAAGTGCAAGTCCTGCGCTCGGGTCAGGGCAGCCCTGGGTATCAATATAGACTGGGGGATGAAGGGATTGAGAGCAGCCCTGCGGAGAAGGACTTGGGGGTACTAGTGGATGAAAAACTGGACATGAGCTGACAATGTGCACTCGCAGCCCAGAAAGCCAACCATATCCTGGGCTGCATCAAAAGAAGTGTGGCCAGCAGGTTGAGGGAGGTGATTCTGCCCCTCTGCTCTGCTCTGGTGAGGCCCCACCTGGAGTATTGTGTTCACCTCTGGAGTCCTTGGCCCAGGAAAGACATGGACCCGTTGGAGCAGGTCCAGAGGATGGCCATGAAAATGATGAGAGGGCTGGAACGCTTCTCCTGTGAGGACACGCTTAGAGAGTTGGGGTGATTCAGCCTGGAGAAGAGAAGGCTCTGGGGAGACCTTACAGCAGTCTTCCAGTACTTAAAGGGGGCTTGTGAGAAAGATGGGGACAAACTTTTAGCAGGGCCTGCTATGATAGGACAAGGGGTAATGGTTTTAAACTAAAAGAGGGTAAATTCAGGCTAGATATAAGGAAGAATTTTTTACAATGAGGGTAGTGAAACACTAGAAGAGGTTGCCCAGAGAGATTGTAGATGCCACATCGCTGGAAGCATTCAAGGTGAGGTTGAACAGCGATTTGAGCAACCTGATCTAATTGAAGATGTCCGTGCTCATTGCAGGGGGATTGGACTAGATGACCTTTAAAGTTCCCTTCCAATCCAAATGATTCTATGATTCTAAGACCTAGATTATCTTTGTCATACTGGCACACCCTTTTCAGACCAGTCACATAACCCCCCTGTGCAGGTAATTATCCTAGGTAAAGTGGGAAAAAGAATACTGTTTTTTCCCTTCCCTCCTCACAGGCTTTGACCTGCTCTTCCCTGGGTAGAGACCTGTGCCTGCTTGGGGGAGGCAGGCTCGCGAGGGAATTCCACACCAGTGCAGCTCAGTCTGAGTGCTGCACTGTGCTAAGCCTGGCTGTGCGGCTTCTGGGTCAGTTTCCCTGCCTGCAGGATACTGCAAAGTTTTCATTAATGTCTTCACATGCTGTTAAGTAGTGACAGGAAGTTCCACGTGTTGGTGTGGAAGACATGGGTGGTCATTGTGCAGCTTTGTTCTCCTGAAGCTTCAAACAGCTGTAAACTGTGCCTTTGAGCTGGTTGGGGGTTTTTTTGCATGGTTCACCTAAGTGATTACTCCTGGGCTTATCTTCTTGGGTAAGTGTAGTTGGAGGAGGCTTGTGTCATGGCAAAAGCCAACATCCACATGTTTTTTGCACTTGGTTTGTGTGTGTGAGTGAGCGTGGCGGGTTTTCTTGTGCTGAGGTGTTCTCCGCTTCTTTCCCATCAGTTCTGTCAGTTGGAAAACTTGCTGTTTGTAAGGAGCTGATGGAAGGGCAGTGGAGGATTGTTGCTATGAAAGTAACTAGCATCCTTGTTGAGAGGCAAGTTGCTTCCAGCTGGTGTTAAAACTGGCTTTAATTTTGTCCTTTAAGTAATAGGACAAGACATGCTATGTAATACTGTGATTGAATAGTGGTCTATCCAGCTTTGAAATGGACCTAGACTTACAGTCCTGGACCTGTTTTTTTTTAAATGATTTGTCATTTTCCACAGAATTGAATCCTACTCTGTCAAAATGTGGTTGTAAAAGAGTTTAATTACACATTTATTTAAAAATGTTTGCATATATGTAATGTAAATTGTGTGTGTGTGTATATATTCACGTGTACCTTTATACTGAAAAATGTAATGTAGTTGGAAAGGCGTTTTTTACTCGTATATAAACAGCAAATCCTGTAACCCTCAAAGACAATACAGTAGGAAAATCCCCTTTACATTAGGTAAGATGTTGATCTATTACTCATTATGTGTGTTTTGTCATTTATGTGCAACCAAGAAATTCATACAGTAGTTACAGGGGAAAAAAAAGAAAAGGGAAATTCTGTAAGGTAGAGCATTGCCCTGTGGGGGCAAGAGAAAGTTCTGTTTGTATTAATATCTCTTGACTTAAGCAGTAGAATAGCTTTGAGTTTTGGTGCTACCTGTGAAACTTAAACTAAACACTGATATGTTGCTTTGTTTTTTGTTTTTTTTTTTCTTTTTTTAGGCACCAGTGCCTGTGAATGGAGATTCTGTTTCCCCAGAAGGTACATTTTTCCCCAAATGCCATGTGATTTCTTTAATTGTTTGCTTTAAAAATTGACATAAAAACTGTCATGTTGAAAAAATGTGGGTTTGTGCATATGAGAATGATAATAGTTCTGTTCTGTCAGACTGTAATTCCTGTCCACTGTTAAATAGAACATGGGGAGAAATTCATGGATGGTTTGTGGGAGAAGATTGCTTTTGAAAAGTGTAGTCCACATAAAAAGATAAGAAGACTGAATTTTTTTGTCACTGATCATGGAAGGCAAATGCATGACATTTATCCTTTTTCAAGGAGAAAGGTTGCTTTGCCTTAGTTTTTGTCATTCCTCACAGTAGCTACCTAATCAAATAAACAGCCCCTTCTCCTAAAAGTGACATAACCATACTTAATTTTCAAGTGTAAGTTCTAAAGACAAAATTCTGTCTTTCATTATGACTTTTTCATGTTAACAGAACATGTGTTTTTCGTCAAGAAAGAAGAATGCATCCTACATTTTCATTTTTGTTAACTACTTTAAAAAAAAGACTTTTTTTCTACTGGCAGGAACTATAGAGAAGACATACGTGCTTTTTGAGATGGAGGGAGTTACAGAAACACTAAGAGAAACGTAGTCATGAGTCAAGTTCCAGATTGTTTGCAAAGTAACATCTGTGTAGTCCATGTCATGGGAAAGCATGTTGCATTCCATTTAGCCTTATATGGCATGCCAATAAATAGCATTTATTTACTGAACCATTACATCTCAGGCCTCTGATGGACAACTGAACATAATCTGCCTGATCTTTGATGTTTTCCAGGGATGGTCACATCAGCGTTGTGACTTGTTGCAGGATTGTTTCAGCCAAACTATTAAAGTGAACAGATACTATTTTGAGGCTGTGGTTTACATAGGCTGGTGATAGAGCTCACCAGTATTGTTACAGGAGGGGATATAGCTGAAAGGGCAGAATGTTGCTTTTTCAAGTGTTTGTGTCTGGCTAGTTGTATAGTACTAATGTAATTCTTGATGTGTATTTTTTTTGTTTTAGTTGATTCCTGGCACTTTTTTCCCAAGTGATCATCAAAGTGCTCTGAAGCTGCATCATCAAATCTTAAAGCCATCCCTTTTTTGAAGACAGGCAAAAGCACTAATTGTTGGGTTCCTGTTGAAACAACTTTTCAACTTGTGTAAACCTTCTGTCATGTAAATAAACACTGACATCACAAAATGAATGTTTCCTTTCTATGTCTGTCTTTGTGCAGGGTGGAGCAGAGGGAAGAGGAGGACTTGCTTGTTTGTTTCTGAATCTCAGAAGTCCAGAATTGCTCTTATCCACTCCTGAAGTGTAGTATCAAATGAGATGGGAGATAAGGTGTTTTCAACCTTGTTCTCCAGATTTTGGGATAATCCAGCCATCAGGTGCATAGAAGACTCTGTTAATTTGTATCTTAGGGCTTGTCTGGCCACCCTTACTGTAATCTGTTTCAAGGAGACAATAATCTTTATGTAATAGGCTTAGCAGTTTACCATGTTCTTCAATATGCAGCTGTGCATTGTTTCCTGAGTTGTATTCACTGTTCTGCCCAGTTGTCTTTGCATGCTTCATAGAGTTATGAGCAGAGCATACTTGTTTTAAAAAAACAAATACAACTTCACTCCAAAGAGTAATTCAACTAGGAAGGGCTAATGCTGTAACAATTGAAGTAAGGATGCATGTGTGCTCTGTACTACATCCTGTTTTGATAACTTGTGTGTTCCATCACACAGGAAGGACTTTCCGTATGGAAAGCTTCCATTTTTAGAATTGTGTATGCCTGATGGCTTTTCATAGTTCCTCATTCAGTGAGACAAGATTAATAAAATGTATAGAACTGAGCTTTGTGCTTTCATGGTAAAAATATCTGCCGTTTTTTCTACTGCAGGATTATATCTGGCCTGTTTGTACCCATGGTGTTCATTAAAAACAAAACCAAAAAAAGCCAGCTGTTAAGTAGAAAGAGAGGAAATGATAACATAGACAGACAGCTTTATCCAGCTTGTTACTGAGACCAAAGGTGAGCATTGTCTGCTTTGTATGATGACTGAAACAAGGTTAATATCGCTGACACACAATGGAGATGGAAGATAAAGAACTGAAAAAGTTAGGCTGTGGCTTGCCATAGAGGACTAACTTTTCTTTACAAAGAATAAGTTATTAGTAAGAAAGCTTATGCCTTTGGGAATGTTTCTTTGATTTTAGGAGGTGATTTTCCTGGTCTAGAGACTTTCCTGTAGAATACTGTGTAGTGTGTAAGCACCAGTCACTTTGGACATCTCAGTTTGGGCCTCAGCACTTAGGAGTAGAGAGAGTTCTCCCATCTGCATAGAGTTTTGCATTGTTTTATACACAGAGTTTAGGTGTGGTATGAAAAATGCAACGTAAACCTCAGATATTAAGGACTAATTTTTTTTTAAGTCAAGAGATACGTTACATCCAACATACATTTACACTACTGATTTCCCATACTTTATTTTATACTTTAGAATTCTAAGTATGTGCAGCATTGTACCTACAGATATAATGGCCTTTTTTTTTTTTTTTAAATAGAGTAAATGTTTCCCTAGTGTCTTGGTTTCTTGTGCAGCCTCTCAGTATGAGATTACTCTGGTTAGAGGTGAGCACTTGTAGGAGTGCTGAACAGCTGCTGTATTTGCCCGTTTGGTGGTACATCTAGGAGGCTTACTGTTCTGTAAAGTGCTTAGGGACAGCTGGACAATGAAGGGCACTGTGTAAAATCAAATTATCTTCCCTGTACAGTGGTCACTGCTGTCCTTACCCACCTCCCTCTTTTTTTTTTTAAGACATAGAATGAAGAGCTGTATGCATATGAAAAACAAGTATTGATTACAAACATACCCATGCTGAACTATCAAGAGTAGGTCAGAAGTTACTTCATTTTTACTTCAAATAATTTTAGTAGTGTTTTTTAATTTATAACTGTGTTGATGGCATGTGGTTAGGAATTCAGGAGAAATAAATTTCTAGATCAGATTAGACCTTGTGCAAGAAAATAACAAATAGTACTTGGGAAAGCTGAGAATTGAAGTGATTGGAAATGCCTAATACTGTCATAAATTTGAAAATGTTAAAATATTTCTTCCATGTAGAGTATATAAACAGATGACTGTCTTGTGTTCAGACTGCTTTCAACATGTGTTTATGCACATTTTCTAAAGATTTTTCCCAAGTGGGATTAAAAGATGTACAGTTACGTGTAGCCTTGCTGCTAAAATGTACTGAATGCTACTGATGTGGATTTCAGAAATGAAGCGTAATGAAATAGCTGTGGAGAGAATGTCTGCTAATAAGAGAATTAGGGGGATGGGACAGAGAAACTAGAATATATTTTTCAGATCTCCTCAGGAAAAACAAAGTTGTGGAATAAACACTTTTTATTTTATTTTGGCTTTTTTCGCAGGCTGGGTCTTCTCTTTGTCTGTATTTATATGCCTATATTGTTGTATTTAAAATTGGCTTCATTGTAGTGGGAAGTTTAGTGTAGCAGTGTCTACTTCTTGGTAGTTCTATGAAAAGAACTTTCATATCTGATACTAATATTTCCTGGAAAGATGTCTTGAAGAGAAATAGATATCTTCCACCCCCCCACCCCCCCCTCCCACCCCACCCCCCCGAAATAAATCCATCTTAACTGTATTTTCTGTGTTGAATATATAATACACACATGTATATATTTCTTTTAAGGATAACTTTGCATCTCAATGTTGTCTTTTTGTCTGTTTTGGAGAGAAAGAAGAGGTTACTCCCCCCTCCCCTAACTATTTTGATCGTGAAGGTTCTTTTTACATATGTAGATCATTAACTGCTGCTCAAAGTAGTACCTTTTACTGACATGGAGTCTGCACTTCACTCCCCCCAGTCAAAAATGGGGTTTGAGGTTTTTTTATGTGGAAGTAACGTCCATTATTCTTTAAAGTGTGAAAATAAAAGGATTGTGAAAATAGCATGCTATTGTAACAGTTGTCACTGTTAGGATGTTATTTTCATGCTGTTAGTAACAACGGACATCCTCTGAAAACCCCCAGAAGAATAGAAAGTAATTCTGAATTGTGTTTGGGAGAACTGTTCATAGATGTTATGCAAGGAGAGTGCCTTACTATAACTTGCCTGTGGTTGCCACTTGTATTAATACTTGAGAGCTACAGCACGAAGCAGCCCTAAGCTGACTGAAGTATTATTTCATGCTTCTCTTTGCTTTTACTGAGATAGAATCTTTTTAATGGATTGTAGTTCAATTTCAGCCCAGTTAAAAGGCAAAAACAGTATTAAGTCAGTAGGGTACAAAATTTTTTTTCCCTGTCTTTGCTGTAAAGCTTAAGGTGATTTCTTACCAGGTTTCATAACCTGGGTTCCAGTCCCTGAGGACAAGAGATCTGGGATTTAGAGAGCAAAGAGGTGAAAGTTAACTGGAAGAGAACAGAAAGAATGGAAGACAGATCTAGGAGGTTAAGGCAAATCAAAGTAATTAATAGAACATCAAACAGGAGTGACTGAAATGCTTTAAAACAATTTTGCCTAAATATTGCAGCAATATGTGACTGCTGATTTCATGGAACTGGAGATGTCAATAGGATGCATTTGCCAAGGAAGAACACTTATCTACCACACAGAAGTTGGAATTGCATCCCCTAAATGCCTGGAAATAGTACTTTAATCTTTGCTCTCCTGAGTGGGGGAAAACAATGGAAAGCAGCAATTGTATTTATTGTTGTGTTGACTTTCTGGGAGTCTTTTGGGTTGTGCAGAGATGACCTGGGTGGTCAGCAATGTTGACTGACTGATCCACACACAGTCTTTGATTTCTCACAGCTTACTGTTCTGTGCATCAGGATACTGGATGTATGCAGCGCTCTCTTCCTGAAACTACAGATGGGGTCTAGAGGGTAGACCAAAAAAAGCCGAGCTCACTGCAGTAGATTGTCACTTTGTGATTATTTGTTGGCTTTGGCTAATTAAAATTAATTAATTGCTAATTCTTGTGGCAGAAGCTTTTAAGTGTTCTGGAGCTACAGGCAGAATTCAGATAGTGCTGCATGTTTTCTCTCATTCTCAATCTGGTAAGTTACAACTGTATCAACCTTATCAGTGATTGAATATGCTAAGTCAAAAGTAAGATTTTTGCTGGTGATTTGGTCTACTGCAAGGGTCAGAAAAGGGTTTCCTGTTGTAAGGGAAAATGCAGAAGCCAAAAAGAATTGCACTATTCTGTGCATGAAGATATGTCTTATGTGCCAGAACACTCCTGCCTGTTAGCTTTTTTCCCTTAAAACATCCTCATAAAGTTTCTAGATTCTTCGCAGATATCACGAAGTTTAATACTAACTTTTTTGTTTATTATATTTGGAAGAATAATACTTGCATTACCCAGGTATTACAGCACATATGCAAATTTATGTGTTCAGTTGCACTCATTGTGGTTTGCTTCTGTATATGTATTAATGCTTGCCTGGAAATTAAAGGGTCTCTTTCAGACCTGAAGATCTGGGTTTGTGTGCAGTGTTCAGTACTAATAGATCACTGGATGGTCATGTAAGCTTCTCTTTCAGGATGAAGAGAGTATGTGTAGTCACTGAAATGGCTGCACTTTGTAGCTGTTACTAGATTTATGCTCATTTATTGGTGTGTGTATCAGGACAGGGATATTGGAATGCTATGAAACTGGTTTGTCTGCTTTGTGTATCTGACTGCTGTCTGCTACTATTATACCAACTACACGTTTGGGATTTTTCTTAGCATTTTGTATTTCACATTTGAAAACATGCTGAAGAATAAACATCTACTTGGTATCAAAAGCCTTAGTTTGGAATACAAAGAATTAACTTTAAATTCTGCTTTTCCATAGTGTACCTTGTGGGCTTGGGCAGACCATGTAATCTTTATGCTACCTGTAAAATGGGTAGAGAAGTTTCTTCTGTGAGTGGTCTTTCTACCAAATGGAGACCTGACACTTCCCCCACATTGAGAGGGGAATTCCTTCCAGTGTCTAGGAAAACATAGGACACATTCACCTTTGTTTACAGTGAGAAGGTTAGCTATACCGACAGGCTTTCTGAAGGATGTGACTGAAAACGCAGGCTTTGCTAATCTGCTGGTCGGACTGATCTGCCCAAGGGTTGTCTGATGGCATAGTTATCTTAAGAGTGAAAAGAGCATTAATGGTGGTGAAAGTTCAAGGTGTAAATTGGCATCTTCATCCTTGTGAGTTCTGCAGAAGACTAGACTCTATTCTTAAGCAGTTCTTTCAAGTCCCCTGATGGCCTGTGTGTGGTGTTTCTGGAGTGCAGAAAAGCCAATTTCAAAGTGTAACTCTTGACCACCTGGGAGTTCTGATCATGTTAACTCTTACATCATAGGAGGCCTAGGAACAAAGCCGGTTTAAGAGTCGAAGTGAAAATGTCCTGCTAGTTCATGCTATTTAGAAGACCTGTTATGTGGTAAAAAATCAGTCTAGATGAGTGGCATTTGGCAGCCTGCTCTCCCTGGAGAGCTGGGACGAGAGGGAAGGCACAGTCAGGTGAGGACAAAATTCCCCTGACACACTGAAATTTACTTCTTGTCTCATTATTGCCTTGCTTTGACTAGATTATTTATTCCTTATATGTGATTATTTGGGAATCAAGAATTTAGGAATTCCTAGCCCTTTACTTGGGCAGTTTTCTGACTCGGACAAACCCCATAAACCTTTATCTATCTCTCTTTCGCTTTTTGTCTGTTTAAATAGGGACAGTATGTGTTTATGTTACAGTAATGTTGTGGGCATTAGTTGCTTAAAAACTTTAAACATCAAGGAAGCCTTATTACTAACAGATGTCTCTCTACCATGTAGGTTGGCAGCACAAAGTTTCTAAGTGTGCAGACGAGGAGTTTTGGAATCCTGTCAAACTTTCTATAGCTTTGTGGGTGTGTAAGGGAAATCCTGCAAGAGAAAAGGAGTCAGGGTAAGAGCAGGGCAGCTGAGCAAGGGTCATTGTGAAGTGTGTATGAAAAGAAAGTTGTAGCTGGCTGTGCAGCTAACTGGGAGAACAAGAAGGGAATGACGGGACCCAAATGTGGGAAAGGAAATGGCATCTCCTATCTTAATACGAGAGGAGATTTGAAATTCATGTTTCTGTGGACCTAAGTGTCTACAGAACATCTTTGTTATCTGCAAATCATATAAAGGTGTTGCTCCCCGATTATGATAATCTGCTTTGTAAAAGTAGCTCTCTGATTCACTTAGCTCTCTTATCTTGAGCTGGAATGGTTTGTGGGACCTCCAACTGAAATGCAAATTAGCCTTAGATGTCTCTCCTCAATGCACACTTCTTGGAAAAAGTGACACAATTCTTGAAAATATCATAATGATGTTTCTGTGACATGCAAGCTCTCTGTTATATACGTAGTATACCTAATCTGAATCATACCAATATGCTTATGGTCTGCCTGAAAGTGTAATGTATGCAAGTTGCACAGCGTGTGATATTTTTCACTGAATGTGTGATCTGGTGATCTCATGTAAAAA